ATTCGACAGAACGCTCACCGCTGGTAATCACCACGTGAAGCGCTGCTGGTTATTTGTTATAATACATCTGTGTTAGCTTCAAGCAAATTTTGTTACAAACTTTATGCCCCCTGAAAAGTGGGGGGGGGGGGGGGGGGAGGGGGGGGGGGGGGATTGTATTTTTATGGCATTTCATACACTGCCAATGTTGCTGATGGGAATCTTCAGTAACAGCCAGTCTTAACTTTTAATTGCAATTACTTCTAAAGATTACATAGCAGCTGCAGTAACAATTTTATCTTGGGCACGTAAATTCACCAAAAATTCATTGCAAACAGGTAATTTCTAGGGACACAATTATAGAGTTAACATCACGGTGAAATATAAAATCTCTTATCACAGGCTGCATTCCTACAAAAAGCAATCCACAATGTGTGTGATCTACAAAAGGCAGGGACTTCCATGAGCAATGTTTTGTCCTAAACTTGCGCTTTGCTAGTTTTTGGTCAAAGTGTGTGGAATTCTGAACGCTTTTCACTTATAAGCAGTTTCTAGCATGCACCCAAAAAATAATTACTTGATATCAAGCATTTCAAATTCAAGCTGATTACTGAAGACTTACTGGCACTTATGGCAGATATATTTGCCAAGGCCAACAGCTTTAGCCTCAGCATTGCACTCGTGGCACAGCGCACGTCCTTGATTGCGGATAAAACCCAGGTCTGCAAGTTCCTTGTCACACATCTCACAACGAAAACAGCGGGGATGCCAGTTGGAATTCATGGCCTTGATCACGCGACCAATCACAAACTCTCCTGCAAAAAAAGTATAAAAGAACCTCAGGTAATTAATACAGATGGCAAAGCTCATGACTTTGTCATATTTTGCCCCATTCTGCGTTCTCCCTCAGCCCCGCCATGTAAATGTTGGGAAAGAACAAACTGACATACAATTTGAAAACAATAAGAACAGGACTAGAAAGCCAATATGGATTACAAAACACAAAGCCTCAATTTCATAACTGTTCCTTCTATACTGAAAGTAATTCTTTGCTTCACTGGATTATAGTCAATAAATCATGACCAAGATACTGAACCAATACTGGCATTCAAATTAGCAAATGGCACAGGATAGGAATTACACATAAATACAAGCACACACTATGTTTACCTCTAAAGACATGGAAAATATGAATGACAAAATAAAATAAAAAACATGTACATAGACGGAAAAAAACCAACCACATTAATTAATTCTTGCATTAGAACCTAATGGATTAGATACTGATCAATCCAACCCACATCACCAAAATATGCTATGTTAAGATCCAGTCTTTAAAATCATCGCCATTTCATTCATCCTAGTTGTTATGCTACATACGATTATTTCAGTACAATTCTGTATACATTTCGTTTCTCATGTAATGATAAAATTTTAAATAAACCTTGATTCTGAACTGGCAAATATTTGGAGCCATGGCCTAGTAAAAGAAACTAACAAATTCCATTGCTGTAAGACGCTACTTACCACACTTCCCACAGCATGGTGCAAAGAGCACATGGAAGTCATGTTCACAGTACTTTCGACCCTCAAACTCATAGAAGATTCCTTCTGGGAAAGCTCGAAAACACTGCGCACAACTGCAAACATAACAGACATTAAATACTTCCATTTAACTAACTTCAAGGATTAAACTCACAGGTACAACGCATACAATACTTAAAAATTAGTAACTTACACTTCACTCTTAACTGAAAAAAGTAAGAACAAAATATAAACACCATAAACTGGAACATGAGATAGTAACATGAAAAAAAGGTTGGGGGGGGGAGGTGTTTACAAAAGTATATTTAACACAAAGTATCATGTACTTGTTTCAGTGTTACAATTGTTTTGCACAACTGTGGACATGCAGAATTAATCTGTAAAACTGAAAATGACTTTAAAATTAGTTAACAACTGTCATTCTGGATTACCACAGAAAGCATCACATTTCCACAGTATAGATATTGTAACATTAATACAAAACAGATTTATTTTGCACAAATACAAGTACAATCAATATTTCATGGATTAATGCCTGATACTCCACAAATCACGGTCCCGATTGGGTACACACACATCTTCTACAATATAATAATACTCCTTGGTCAAGCTTTGTCACTTCAAAACACCAGAATCCTTTCTTTTATAAGATCTACAGCTGTTCTAGCACAGCATAGATGACTGGAGTTCCTTCTCGAACAATCTGCCATGTTCCATAACTTCCACAAGTGGCACATTACTTCTTATGGAAGGGACATCTCTTCATAATGAGGCTACTAATGGCAATCTCCCATTTGAAACCACAATTATACCAACTCACATGGTTCTATACCATGTCAGGACAGCCAGTCTGAGATCTGAACTGGGACAGTACTGTCACAGACAGAATGATAGTACACAGCACACAGTTACATTTGGATGGACTTTTTAAATTTGATATTGAATTACTTTTAAAATATTATAATAATAATAAACTGGACATGAAAAACAACACATTAAGAATCACATAAGAATATATAATATAACTCCATACAAATGGGCAATATAACTATAGAAACTGTATATAGCATAACAATACAATGACGTGTATAAACAGTAGCTTTATGTATGAGTGTGTGCACGTGCGCATGCATATGTACATGCATACACACACAAAACAACAGCAGTAATAATTAATTTTAACCACACTATTAACTCAGATGTTTTTACATGATAAAATGGAGGGTTTTATAGTAAACAACTTTATGGTTCAATAGACAACAACTATAGCAGATGGGAGATATGCAAATCAATAGTTTCATTTTATAGATAAGATTCCTGATACTAAGCAGATGTACTCAAAACATGCAGGGAAAAGATATGAATTAAAAGAATTAATAATATATTAAAAAGACAGTAATTAGTATAATAAAACTCTAAATAACTTAAGACCAAACAAAACCCTAATAAAAAAAATACCACTCTTACTTTTCAAAAGAATAATCTTAGTTTGGATAAATAAAACAGCAAATAAAAAGTTCGTGACAAATATTGCATTAGAAATTACTGTCTGAGCAGAAACTTATAAAAATCAGTGAAGATTATATAACACACTGTGAAAGCAAGTGGTTCACATCCTCATTCCACACAAAAATGTCAGAGAGTAGTGCATACTCACACGAAGCACTGTGGATGCCATAATTCCCCATTCGAGTTCACAATCTTCTCATGTGGTTCAAACCCGTCCCCACAGCGGGAGCAGAACATGTTCCCCAACGGCATGCTGATACTGCAACACATAGCAGACAGCATCAGAACTAGTCTTCACTTTACTCAAACTACAACAAGAAATTAAAGCACCTAACCCAACTCTGAGACCACCCAAGTTCCGAGTCAGAGCTGATTCCCTGAAGGTATGACCAGGGTTAAATACGATGCTTTTCAGGGCTGTCACATACCTCGTGGGGTGATAACAGATGAGTATGGAGTAATGCAAAGCAGGGGAAAACCAAAAGCAGAAGTATAATTATTTCCTATTCATAAAGAAAGATACATTTAAAAACACTTAACCACAAACAGAACTGTTTTAACATAACATGAATCTACGTAATATTAAACTGGAACTTCCGTCACAGATTAATGCAGATTCACACTTTTTCCCCCCATTCACAGCTGGGTCCATAAACTGTGAATCCTGCTTGGAATACATTGCAGGATGGTAAAGCATTTGCTCTCCTGAAAATTTGAAGATGCCTGTCTTCTAGGTTCTAGTGGTGTGCAGTCTGGGAGAAGTTTAATGACATTTCAAATGTACCTGCTGGGTCTTTCATCAGGGCCCTGATCTTGCAGACAGTAGGTACCTCTAAAACACCAGTTAATGTTTACCAGACTACACTACGACCTAGAAAACAGCCATCTTCAATAAGCTGCTATGAGAACCTCATATGGTAGCAAAAAAATTGAATTTTAACTCTCAGTTGTTCATCCTTCCAAAAGTTAATAAAAATGAAGTCTATGTGGACTCTGGGACTGCAGTCCCATTTATCAGTTCCATGGAAAAACATAGGCACCGTATCATACTTTCATCAAACTTTCCATAGCTTTTCATCATGAAGGTGGAAACAGTTCCTCACAAAAGTAATTTTCATTCATATAAGAACATGTGCAACTATTTCTCTGCAGTAATGCCAAGCTACAATATTTTTTTAATAAACACAAATCTTACAAAATAAAATCAAACCCCGATCACAGAATTCTAACTAAAAAGAACATAAATTTGCATATTTTGCAGTTATGCTACCACACCACTGAATAGACGGTACAGTTCAAATACCGGTATGAGAACTGGAATTTTTCTCAACTCTATTATATCAAGAATGGCCCTGGGCCCTCTCACGTAAATAAAACATCAAGGTTAGGAAGGTTTGGAGCTTAATCTTCAGAATGATTTTATGGCATGGATCTTAGGTATATGGACAGCCGTACTTTTTCCTCTACATGGATTCTTCAATTATAGTTTCATTTTCTGTTTTAAACACCTCTGCATACAGAATGCACATCCACACGGCAACAAGTGTGCCATTACCTAAACTGTGCAGTGATCATCTCGCTCACACTGTGGCTCTCCTTGGGAGCCAGTGCAGGTGGCTGCACAAGGGCACCACTGCTGCCACCAAAAGCCATGCTGTCTAGAGTGTCATAATCATATAATGTGTCAGCCATGTTGCGGGCCAAGTCCAGAGCACCGCAGCTCTCCATGGCCAAGTGCTCTTTTCTACGAACATACAACTCGCTGTGCTCCAGCCTTTTCAATGCCAAAGGGATGCTGATGTCACCTGCCACTGAATGATCTCCTACATGTTTCATGTTATCGCCACAGTACATATTTACACAATTTTCTCACCAAACAGTGTGAGCAGTATTTACCAGTCCCCAAAGCACACTTCTTGTAACACGACAAATTCACATGCACACTCAATATGTCAGTAACACGTAAGCTTATATAAGTCAATACTCTTCATAACACAACAGGATGGCAATGCTTCTGAACAGCAGTTTGTGCATCAGCAGACTTTTAAAACCAAGTTTCCCTTTGCTATCCTAAAACAAAACAGGCTTACAGGATGTTCATGTCAAATTGGTGGAGTGTCTTTATGTCTACATCAAGTCATAATGTCTTATATCTGTAATAACAAGGGGGAGAAATCATGACTGACATATTTCTTTACTGTTAAAACTTGTGCAGTGTTCAAAAGCATGGATTCATACAAACAAGTTTCAATTAAAGCTAATCTCTTTCTTCTCATATAACATACTGCAAAGCTAAGCTGTATGAACTTCAGGATCAAGTTCATGTATCAGCATATACAACACAACATGCAGATCCAAGTGTTCAAGGCTACTGTATGTCTCATCTGACACCTGGACACACAGGCAGTGATGCATCCAGGTAACACGTGAGACAAAAATATTCACTGACTGAAAATGAAGGAAACCACACATGAAGACACAGAAGTCAGCTTCAAAAACTCTGCAAAATTTCAAATTAATGGAATAACCTACGAAAAGTCCATATGTGACTGACGTAAAAATCTTTCACTTTGAGTGCGATTTATGAAGGTACAAACACATTAAATATACCCAAAAAGACAAATACAAATCAACTATACTGAAAACCTAACAATTTTTAATCCATTCAACATATTACAAACGCACGTCATGTGACACCCTCTTTATTTTGCCTGAATAGACCTAAATTACATCCGAAGAAAACACTCCTACCAGAAAAGTAACTATAACACTCATATTTGATTTCAACAACCATCTGCCACCAGTAATCCAATGTAAGACCAAGCACAATCATTGCTCAGTTGTACAATTAATTACACCCACAACCTTCAACTCTTATTACAATAAATCACTATATTAGCACTCTCTACACAACTCTGCAACACTGCACCCTTCACACAGCAAGCAGCAGGCTTCTCCTTATCTTTCTGAGCCAACAGGTGCCAACCTGGCCCAGCCCATGTTTGTTTGCTGATGTCGTCAGCTAATTTTACTGCACAGATCAGAAACTCTGCTCTATCAGAGAAGTATGGGCATCAAAAATATGAGAGTCACCAATGGAGAAAACTGCTGTTATTTGTCGTGTGTAAAATATTGATCTAATAAGGATGTGACTATTTTCCATTATCTCACACTCCGCACAGTGCCGTACTGTGGGACATTAACATTATGTCTGCACCTTAAGTTAATTAGTCTACGATAGAGGTAAAATGTTTGCTTTACACCACCACTACAGTCTCTCTCAAGGATAGTGGTCCAAGCATCCAATGAACTGTATGCTCGACGCACATCAAACATATAACCCACCACTTCAATGTACTGAGCTCTGTTACCCATTATTAACAACAACTTATTTATAAACTAAGAGCCAAAGGTACACTGTGCTAAAAGGTGTAACTACTTTAAATAAAAAATCTGCAGATTCATGAATGTATATTTGTCATGACAAAGACAGAACTTTCATTTATGCAATAAAAAAGGAATGGTGAGATTTTACATACAATTTTTCACACAATATACACATTCTCCTGCACCTTATAACAGACAGCCAACCAACCCTATGGTAACAGAATGCAAAGCTTCAACACTGCTAATATGAAGCACCTTCCACATCCTCACAACATATTTCACAAAGACACAATGCCCTTCTTGATCACGCAAATGAGCTTTTGCCACAAGAATTAACAGGAAAAAATTTAAAATTAATATTTTGCTCAGCAACACAAGCTAAATGTTCACCCAACCTCAAGCTATATGTTCATCATCATATGAATATTAAGTACAAACCATAAAGGTACTAATTATTCTGTGTGCATCCCCATTTCATCAACAAACTCCATATGGCAGCCTTCCTTCAACGGACAGGTGTTTCACTAGATTAAAAATTTGGTTGTAATATAACCAAAGGGTTAATACCACATTGATCTTTCAAAACACATTAATATGGGATTAATGTTATTATTTACATAAAAAAGAAGCATTTCCTTAACTGAACTACATTCTGTCACGATCAGAAACCACCTACAGGTATCTTATAAAACATATAATTACAAGGTAGAAGGTATAATTTGTACTCACCCAGGCATTGGTGAAGTTATAAAGTTTAACTGAGGAAATCAAATCTCAGCAAGATGCTGCAAACAGAAAATTCACAAATTAGCATCTTAATGGTCTAAAAATGTAAATGTTCACCTGTAACACAAATGTGGATAACTGTCTAATTACTGAACTTTAATGTATGATAATCACATTCAAAATGTTTAGGTCCCAAAACTGGTGACAATGTACCTTTTATCTTCACAATGACAATACCGACGTAACACTTTGATATCAAGTTTTAGAAGATATCCTACAACAAATTTAATCAAATTCAGGCCTGTTACTGCATAAACTGACCCACATGCCACATGGCAGGCAATTTTCAGGGATATTTTTTTATAATATCCAATGATACTGAATGACCAGGCATATGGTAAGCTATTGGGCAATAAAGATTGAAAATAAATACAAGCATTTGTCGAATTTCCACACAGTAACACTGTGGACACCAGGGCTGTGGAGTCGGAGTCGTTGAGTCGGAAGCAATTTTAGGTGGATTTGGAGTCGGTAAAAATGTACCGACTCTGACCTCGATATAAAATCTTAAGAACACTTTCGCTACCGTGAGCCACATGGTGTGGGAATAATGCTTTGTAACTTTGGCTCCAATACAAACTGTCTACAAATCAACCGATTTCTGCAAAAATCATTATACTCATACTTAAATATGGGTTATAAGTTTAAAAAGTAGCCTGATGATTCGCATGGTGGTGGTGATGAAATCTCTTATGGTGCCATTTACCATTGTAGTAGGTTTCCCATTATTAATACATATTGAGCTTTTATGAAGGAGTCAAGAGATTTTAGTACAGCTCGACAGCCCTGGTGGACACTCTTCTAGTTTGATATAACTGAAGAAAATAGGACTTAAATTTTGTGCTCTGTTGATCAAGACATGACAAAAAAAAAGTCAGAATTACTAACAATAGGCCTAATCCCTATGAGTAGTAACTGATGTTGGTTGTGATGATTATCCGTTCTCCGCAACAGGTAATGGCCCTACATTATTTCTCAAAAGAACTGGTGGCTGAGTCAAGTTCTGCTCTTTGTGACTAGCCAATAAGTGCAAAGGGGGTGTGCTGATAAGCATAATATACTCAAATTGTCCAGAAACTGACAGCATTAACAGCCAAACTGCACTGTTGCAAGTCTTCACCTGTTCCTTGCATAGTGTATATAACCTTTATTTCTAATGGAGAAGAAAGGCTTGGATTTGTTTAACTTAACTTGCCAATGAATATACAGTATTCACAAATACGTGGATTTTTTTCCATGCAAAAACAGTTTGCATTTACTGGAAACCAAAGTTCCAAAGTGCAGGCATAACTGTATGTTCTGTGTTTCCTTCCCATCAATCCACTCTACCACCTTAGCTTGCTCCCAAGTCACACAACATGTGACTGGTGCATGCTTCTGGTACAAATTCTACTCAAAAACAATGTGGTGGGCTACGATTATAACACATACTGAGAAAGGTGTATCAGTAAAAAAACGTTCGATTTGTTCTTTTGGAGGGGTCCAAGCACTTCTAACTAGAAATATGTACACATTTCTAGTAACATCTCAGCAAAAAACGGAATTCTTGGCACTTACTCACATAAGCATATAGAGATTTTTTACCAAATTCTAAAATTAATATTCTGCCCAAAGGAACCTCTAAAACGCTGCAACGGAATTAACTGAAAATTCATTTTTGCAAAAAAAAAAAAAAAAAAAAAATGTAAACTATATTTTTGGGTTGTTAGTAGGTAACACGTGTCCCGTATCAACCCATTTTAATCACGTCATAAACAGAACTTTAATAACTAACTTTCTCTTCAGACCCTATAAAGTAACTGGCTGGCAATGTTATATACTAAACATAAACTTTACTCTTTTTAAGTTCTAACTTTAATAATACTACCCATTATTTAACAAACGTCCTCTAAAAGTACAAAGTTTAGTTTGCTTACCTTATCTCTGTACCTGGATTGTAAATAAACTGATAACAGTTATGTTAACACCTACCTATTCAGCGTTTCAACACCCTTCTTCTCACATGACGTAATTCTTTACATTTCCTACTAACTAAACGACCCACCCATCTCCATATTTGGGTCTTCTTGTAGAGTTGTGAGCGTGGACTGTAACAAAATGTTGGTATTAACTGTGTTTGGTAGGTTGGTATTTGCTGTGGGTACAGGAAACAGAGTCGGTTAGGTCAAAAGTAATATATAATGTCTTGAAACTGACATTGTAATTTTCAGTACTTTTTCTTTTACAGTTGGAAGTGTTCAGTACACATGTGAAAAATGTGTAAAGCCATACACGTTTCCCTAATGTTTTAGAAGTAATATAATGGCTGTGTGAATGACCAGTTTATTCCAGTTTCATTTCCGTTTTTAGTACGTAAGCATTACTTCACATTGGTACGGATAGATGGCAGATTTGAAAATCTCTGTGGTTCCTAAATTTCGATAAGATTTTTTTTTCGGCTTTTACCTACTTTTCTTCTTATTCAAGAAGAACAAAATATGGAACGATTTGCAATACAATTTACGCTCTTTCCAATTTCATTCACTTAAAATGTCTTAAATGACCTGCTGTTGGCTATAAAAGTTGCAGTTTTAACAATGACATTAAATAACTTTTTGAATAAATCACTGTCAGCCAAAATGCCAAAGCAAGCCTGCCGAAATTTGGAAAATAACATTCAAAAAGCAACACACTGAGACGCCCTGTAGCACCTATAGTCTCCTAATAGGTGCAGCAGGCTCTTTTCCTTGGAGTAAAGCACCCAGGACAAGAAGCTGGTTACTCCCATGTAATATCAAAATTAAGAATGCATGAAGCTGTACCTCCAGCCACCCATAAGCCTTCATTTCAACGTACTTAATTTAAAACAGAGACAACCACTTACATCTCAGTACTTGCTGTAAGATATAGATGGTGGCTAGTCAAAGGACCTTCCAGATGCTGACTTTTTGCATTAAATCTGATTCAGCTGTTAGCTAGCAGTACAGCATCCCCACCACCTTGTGTAATTGCTTTATTTTATTACAGCAACATACATCGTAACTTTTAATTACATTTTTTGTGTGTTAGTTAAAAACATAATTCTTAACGTCATTCTGGGGAACCAGTTGTGGAAAAACATTGTTAAAGTTTGTGATTTATTCAGTGAAAATTATGAAAAGTGTAGCTATGAAAGTGCTCAATTTTACAGACCATTAAGATGACCCACAAGGGCTGAAAAATATAAGTAGTGTTGATATTTAAATTATAAAGTTATATTCTGGTCATTTAACAACTGTATTAAGACCACACTTTCTAAATCTGTGCCATAGTTAGATACTGGATTCTCACTGCAGACACCTGGGTTCAATCCTGGATGATTTCAATTGAGGTGTGTGGTGGAAAAAACATCACTGGAGCAGGTTTTTTCTGATTCCTTTCATTTTCTTCTGTCTCCATACTCATCTATCATTGCCCTATGAGGTGTTCAACATAACCTTGATTCTTGGAGCTTCATCTTTGACTAAGCACTTGGCTTTTCTCAGAGTATAGGTAGTTTCATTTTTACCTAACTTGTGAGTTGATGCTAAATTCACTTTTATAGTAAAATTTATATGTTTATCTTCTGAAGCAAGTTCTGATCATTTCTTTATCAGTGAGTTGCTCCATCACATTGGAAATGTGTCTGGCAACCCTGTGACATGCTGTAACAAAGCTTCCCCACATTACAGTTAATGTGTGTAGGGGTATTTTCACAAGCCAAATTTGATAAGTCAAAGTGGACCCCAGATATGGCCCCCCAGGTTGCCATACATTACCCTTTCCGATTACTTTCACCAGGGCCATGTGGTGATGAACATGCTCAGGAATGTTGGGGGAACGCCAGGAAGTAAGCAGAGCCAAACAAACCGAGTGCTTGAGTTATTGTGACACATGGCCACCTGGACTGTGTATAAGCCAGGATATATGACTGATAAGGACTGAAAAGATTATGTCATGCCAGTATCATACCATCTTCTCACACTTATCCTTCACTGAAGCCATTATATAAAAAGACTGCTTATTTTTAAGTTATTAATTTCGAAGACAAAAAGCTGCAGTATACTATACATATTTATTTTATAAATTTTACTTATTAAATATAAAAGTATAATCTGAAGATAATGGAAAGTACTTAATGTATACTTTCAGGTTCATCACCATGATATATATTGTAATATTTGATTCAAACTGAATGCACTGCCATATTTACCATTAGCCTTGAATAACACTGTATTACAAGCGAAGTGACAACTACAAAGAAAGCTGTCACGTCTATTAAGGCAAGAGAAGATTGATTCATGTGATGTTAACAGCACTGTACCAAACACAGAACTTATGCAGCATTTGAGATAATAATCATAACAAATATTAGATCTGATGTCATTGTCCATAAAATGTTTAGTTAGAAACAAATGCATACTTTTTTATTAAATACTTACAGAAAAGAAGCTTTTGTCTAGAAATATGTTAAACAAGAGATACCACATGACACACTACATGATCAAACACCAAAGTTTGTAACACTGAGCACAAACCAGCATAGGACTATCACGATGACACCCACTTGTGCACCACCAGCTGTGCCACTAGGGAGATCGTTTTCAGTGCCCGGCTCCCAGTTTCCACAACGAGGGAAGTCGTATGGTGGGTATGGCATTTCATCAAAGTCACCAACTTTCAAAACAAACCCCATACCCATGTCAGCATGACTGGTTATGTGGCAGTGGAAAAACCAAAATCCTGAAAACAGGAACACTAATATGTAATGATAAGAAAAGTGGTCACAAAACATTTAAAAGCATAAATGTTTATCACCATATCTATCTTTCTAAATCAAATGACTCGGCACTGATTATATGGGTTTTTAAGAAGCTTAGTATACAATATTTACACTGAAACGTTTAAACAAAATATAATTTTGTCCTTCAGTGTTGCCAACATACATATGAAAGTTTTCCCCCTTTCAGCTACTGAATGAATCTGTTGAAATTCTGTCATTAGCAATTCTGAAACATTTGGTGCAGTTGCTATGCTCCTATTTTCCATTTTAGACAAAAATTCACCTAAAAAGTGTTTTATTTTTCAGGATTCAGAACTGAAGTGTGCTAGTGTTGGTAGCAATGTGAAGGTTCCATGACCAAAATAAATTAAGATAGTGATCTGAAATAACATGGTACTGGGAAAATCATCAATGGCATCATCATTTTCCTATCACATTTCATGAAAGTCACCCAGTCTTCCACAAGTTATTAAACATATTGCCTACACAAACATTATGTTGTTTGGAAACCAAATTTTTGTGGAAATTGCTGTCTTCTGGGTTGTTGCACTGTATAATCTGGTAGATGTCCACCAGCGTTTCAGAGGTCATGCTGCCTCCATCATCAGGGCGATTACATTTTGTGACCTCCCCAGTATTTTGTATCCTTTGCATGGTAGCCTTGGCATATGACTGCACCCAGTACAGTTATCCTGGGATTTTAGGTTTTGCAATTAGAGTTGGAACTCACCTGGATTGTCAGCAACAAATCGAATCACAGCATATCCTGAGCTGGGAACAGACACTGTGTCTTTCAAAGGTCCACCCAAGTTCTTTGAGATTCCATTTTGTTCGTTCAGTTCTCTCACAATCTGTTTTGATATGTCACCGTCAATCACATTTTGAGCCACAACATGGAACTGACCACCATGCATATGGAATGGGTGGTCTCCACCTCCACGCCCTGGAAGAATATTTCTCTTTAATCTGCTGAAGAATTGGTGAGAATTTTGTACACTGATTGCAGAGTAACAAGTTGAGACTTCTGGTAATGAATTTTTCACTAGGTGATCAGATATACAACTTACCAAGGTCAATAAACACGATTTCAACTAAGCTGCCCAACTCGATGTCATATAAATATGAACATGCACAGAATGAGCCATCAACACAAACATCTTCATCTGTGCAGTACATGTCTTGAGTAATTTCATGGCGTTGTGTCAGAAGGGGGAAGGATGGATAGCTGAATGTGCGTGAGTTGACCTGTGGCCATGGACCTACAATATCCTCTGATACTGGAACAGAGAATTCATTAATAACATGAGTCACAGAAAATAGACAAGGACTAAATATCATGGCATAGTCGTTATAATTCCTGCAGGGCATCCTAGATTAAAATCTCAGCCCAGAGGATGGCTGTCCCAATGGTGGTTTATCACGGCTTTTCTGAGCACCTCCAGGTAAATACCAGAATGCCTGAAGATACACATAAAAGCTTCTTTTCCACTACAAATCACTCTCATTTGACACTACATAACACATACAGCTTAAATAACATTATTAATTAAATTAATAACACCAGATGACTGAAAATAACTTTCTTGTCACATGTAAAAAAATGGGTGTATCTTATATAGTTTCTTAAAATATGTATTTGTAAATTACCTCAAAATTTATCTGTCACCCACCAATTATGAGTGAACTGAAATCAGATTAATTTAACCTGTTAAAGCCCAACAGTAATTATATATTACACCAGCTTCAACAATCAGTAACTTTTTATTTTCTTAATACCCTTCATGCAGTGTGGTTGCGTATATTAACACAACAAACCAGCCAACCAACCACTTTCATCACTACACTAGCATTTATTTACAATTTACTACTTACATATTAAGATTTATAATCACAAAATTGACATATTATACATTAAAATTATGATTAAGTATTTAGTAAATATAACCTAAAATGCTGCATATAATGTTTTTTGAGTATAGCTACTTCAATAATCATGCTAGCTAATATCTTGTAATATTTGTCTACTTTATATTTGCTACATGTGTGTTATTTCACTTATAGTTTAATTGAAAGTCATATTTCTGCACTATCTTGTAGCAGTTTCACTGTATGGATATTCTGTCTATTTCGCATCACTTACTAGTAGCTTGTATTGTGGTGATACCTTTCTTGTGTCACCTGTAGTGAAGAAAATTTACAATCTGTTTTGCAGTGGGTAGCTGGATGAGTTGTTTGTTGGTGGTGTACTTTTCATTTTGCATTTATGGGTTTTGTATGAATTTCAGAATAAACAGCATTTATTTCCTTAAACGGCATTAACTCTTTGACCTTTTTAAATGGTGAAGTGTTGTGTCTTTTGTAGTATAAACTGAATTCTTAAGTATTATTTAGATGAGCTTTGGCTTCAAAGGCCTATAGACACAATAAAAAAAGCAAAGTAAAAATTGCATATTTAACTCTCATAAAAAGTAACTGATGAAGATGGCTGTCTCTTGGATTGTTGTGCTGTGTAGTCTGGTAGAAGTTTACCGACATTTCAGAGGTCCTTGCTGCCTCCATCATCAGGCCCTGATAAAGTGTAAGTTTCATGGTGTGGATAATCAAGGTTAAAAGAACATGCCACAAACTCACCATACATGCTGTTCCTAAACTCGATATAAATGATCTGATTCACATCACCACTGATATTTTGGGCTTGTTCCACATCCACATTTTCCAGCTCAGCCACGTAAGTAAGTTCATTACCAGAATAGTTGTAAGCAATTGCTCCAATTGGATTCACCACCTAGAATCATAAGCCCACAAGAACAGGAATAGGAAATTTAAACCCTCACAATACAGGCCTGCCAGCTACACTTGAACTTCTGGATTAGCAGTTTAGAGATATGATAGTGGGACACATGAACAGTTGCAACATGTGTGAGCTATGACACATTGCCAAGAAAGGATAAAATGTAACTATTTCATGACAGACTTACACATAACATATACTGCTGAGTTTGTGTGTAACAGAGGCACAAGGTGGCCATTGTCATGAACCACAGAATTAAGCAGAAGAAAAACAAGGTTGGGAAAACAAATAAAGCAAACACGACCAAGACAACAGTACAGCTATTATTTCATGTAGGTAACAGTGATATTACAATATCCCTCAAAATCTAATTTTTATAACTTATAATTTATCGGATTTATACATCAATTTGGGAGATGAAAGACAATTACAAAATTTTAATATTCACCTGTTGGTAAAGCTTATAGAACAATGAAACTCAAAATCACATTTTATTTACAGGATTTTGTATAATCATCTTACAAAAATCTAACCAGTCAGAACCACATAATTTCATGATGTCACAGACATGGATGTGCCAGGTAACATTCACGTTTAAACCTTTTTTATCCTTTTCCACTAGACACTAAAAAATTTGGTTCCTTTCTACAGATTCCAATCTAAGAAAGATTCATACCATGCCCGTGGCAACAGCATCTTCATACGTTGGCTCTGCTTCAGGCAAAGCTTCATCAGCATCTGCATAATGCAGTACTGCCTCCTGGTGTACTTTCCTTGCATCATTTTCACAATTTCCCAATCCACGGAACCGTATCCAATAATTGTTATCCGTCTGATTTGCCTCCAGTATGAAGTCATAACGCTCACCTCCATTAAGCATGATGGAATTGGCTGGGAAATGTCAGTACACAGTTACATTTGATCTGCAACATCATCTTAACTGAACTCAACTAAAGAATGACACAAAATGAACAGACATTGGATAGTTGGCTGTTTAATGATGCCATATCATTGGTTATTCAACATCAAATGATACTTTCAGGATGTACATATTTGATGAACATGAAAGAATTTGGGAGGAAGTAGTAGTGATTTATTTCAAGGTTCTATCCTGGCATTCACCTGAAGGTACTAAGTAAAATCACAAAAGATTCAGTCAGGGATGTGGGTGTTCTGGCTGAGATTCAAACTCGGTGCATGTTAAATACAATTTGCAAGTGTCAGCACTAGAGAGAATTTTTTCAATTTGAATGTGTGTGGATCACAGTAGTTTTGTTTAGCGTAATTGAAATCTGTTCCATACTCTCAGTGAATTCTTCTCTTTACATGAAAGGGAAAATAAAACCATTATAGTACCCATTGTCTTATGTGGATAATACTTGCTGTTCGACTTTATCAGAATAAAGCAAGTGTCTCAACCCATGATCTGCCAATGGGTTTTGTGTGGCCTGCATATATTTATTGTAGCCTATAGCTTTTTACCTTAAACAGAAGTTATTACAAAAACACATATATCAACAATCTCATCAATGAATTTAATTGATCACTATGTAGCACAAAGTTAAGGCCTCTGAATCTATACTATTCTGTCAACAACCAGTTTCTGATAAACAACTTAATCAGCAAAGAAGAAAGGAAATAATGTTTGAAACAAATGTTAATGTATTTGTAAGAAACTTGTGGAAAGTACTGACATTATATTGAAATTCATCCATTTCTATTGTAAATAAGAAATAGGTAAAAGTCAATTTAATAAATCTTATGTTTTCACATTGCCTGCATTCTATTAGTGATTTTAAAACATGATCACCAACCAACAAATAAATCAACAAATATGTGCTTATTACAGACTGATAAAAGTCATTCGGGTAAAGATTGTTTCCACTCACTTTGATTTTTAAATGAATGCAGACTCCTGGGTAAATGTTAAAATTACATAACCTAACCCAGCATAACCAAATGCAACTAAATCTGGCCCTCAGCACCTAAACATGCACACTGTCTTCTGCACATGCACAAATGCTCCTCTGTGCTTGCGCATCACTAACTTCACCTATGTTCCCCAACCTAACTAACTAACTAGATGGATGTCTGTTCATGCATCCAGTATTTCCCAGAAGGACTTTGCAATTAGCTGGACATGCAGCTGATATAATGAAAACAAGAAATGAAAGAATTATTTTTTTAAATGAAGGAGACTGTTAGAATGGACAGGTACCTCATATGTGAGGGAAAAGAAATATTTACAACATTTTTGTTGGGAACCACCTGAGAAGTGATCACTTAGAAGACCAAACAGAAATGGAAGGATAATATTATAATGGATCTTAGGAAATATATTGTGAAAATGTACATTGGCTAGAAACAGCTCAAAATCATGTCCAATGGCAGAATTTTATTTTTTCTGTGATTAACTTTTGGTTATGTTGTTAGAGTTAATGTCACTGCTGATGTTACCTGGAACAGGTGTGAAGCTAGCTCCATCACTGGCAATAACCAGTAGACTGTGATTCTGCACAGACAGCTGTACTGGGCAAGGGATCTGATTGTTGTAGATCACACGGAACCGGTACCGTTGGCCCTGCAGATGTGCAATCACACATGATTTACTGGTGTTATTTATAGGATAAAGGCACAGGAATTTCACCCTTGTATGCTGCATAGTTTAACATTAAATAAAAAAAATAGCAAAGCATGCTAAAGGATGGAAGGAAGGCTGTCGTGAAACAATGCCTCAGCAGTAATTGTCAACTGTAACAACAAAAATCCATCAGATAATTGTGCTAACCAAAATAAGCACCCACTGAGAAATGGAATTACTAATTGGGTACTTTTTAATTGTTCACTCATTTTAATTACTGGCCACATTTATGGTAAAATATAAATTATAGATCTCAGATTCAACAACTCTGATGAACATCCACAGGTTAAAGATACCTATTCAAAGTTTATCAAAAGAAAACGTACAAAAGACACAACATTAAACTTTTTTTGTTGTCTGTGGCAGTGGTAATGTTAATGACGTTCTAGGCTAAAGCCAGCCTAGTTAGGTGAAAGAATTCATTATTAAAATGAAGATACCTGAGATATATTTACTGGTAAGAGACACACCTTAACCTTTAGATTCCAAGTGAAATGTATGCATCCATTAATAATCAATTATCAAAATGTGATCAAGGAATGCATCTCTCTCCCTCTGTTCACACTGGAAATGGCATACATCAACACATTATGTTGTTTCTTGGCTCTACAACCCAGTTGTGGGTTTTCACCGCCTCCTTTTTTGGAGTGTGCATTTATGAGTAGTGAGTGACCAGCCCACTGACTGCACAATTTCTACTCAATCCTGATTTGACTACCAGAGCCATCTAGTAGTTAATCAGGAGACTTGGCTGAAAAATGGCTGCTGAATTTTGCTTAAGAAATATCTTGTACCATGCTCGTAAGGTTCTTTTACGTGCCGTAAATCTACAACATGGGATCACCAGCTTTACTTCTCCATTGAAGGAAGTCTTCAACACATGTATGGCACAGTAATATTCAATAAATGTGGAATCCACCTTGCACAATCTTCTTCTTCAGGTGTTGAGTAAGAATACGAAAGACACTAATGGGCAAGGTGCTCACTACTGCTTCAATTATTGTATGCTATACAAAATGTGTGTTCAAGCACTGCATCGTAAGTTCATTGTACCACATCACTGTCAGCATAAAGCACTCACTAGTGCAGGGTAGCATCTGCTCTCTTCCCCCATCTAGGTTCCATTGTATTCACCCACCATCAAACAGTGTGAATCTGTAAGCCTTCCTTTAGCAAGTTATGACAACTGCAACATGTTCTCCATCAAGATGAGAAATGTGATCAGTATTTTCTCACCTGTACACTTAAAACTTACTTGCTCTCTTTTCTGGTTCATAGCTTAGCACCATATGAGCACACATGGCCACCACATAACCTGCAAACTACGTCCAATCAATACAAACTTCATACCTCAGGGAAGTTTATTCACACAAACTAATATATATTGGTAGCAAAATACAGGAAATTTGTGAAGTGACCATCATAAAATTAAAGGATAAATTATGTCAGACAGAGAAGAACCATAGTTTAACACAGGCCTCATATTATTTCTCTACATTCTAAAATTCTAATTTTAGCAGATCTGTGCACAGAAAATTTTTAACCTAGATCTGACCAGTCATTGAATATAGGATCCTCTGAACAGGAACATAAAGTGTTACTGTAATACCACCAGGGATCGTCAAATTAATTTGTACTTTTCTTTCTGTAAAGTTGAATCACATGGCCCAGGAAGATCATCTTTATTTTATACATTCTAAAGGCAGTTTTCGGAAAAATATTTTTATAAAATGGACATGAACAAGATGATGGATGATATGTTGAGACAAATATCTGAATACCATTTGAGACTAACTGTAGTTTTGGGATATTCATCATACAGTATAGCTTGTGCTGTGAAATTGCATGGCCACCTTTGCTATGAATTACAGCTCACCTGTTCAACAGTGAACACCTCTCTTGGCATTGTATCAAATGTGTCTTCCTCTGGTGGCAACTCAAATGCCTCAAGACCTCCCAGCCCATTGATGATAAGTCCTTCCCCACTAGAGCGAGTTCCAGTATATTTTGAGACAGTAAGAACTTCCCTGGTAGATTTCCCAAACCAGTGCCACACAATCATTGAGTGTTCAGACAGGTCCTCATCATAAAGACTGCTATGCAGCTCTTTAGCAGCAGGGCGACGGACAATCATGGTTCCAAACACACCATCTGCCTCTTCAAAACCTGTGTGGTATCAGAAAAGTGATACACCATGTAATTCAACTTCCTTTTGTATCCCTTGTCTGTATGGTCATTATATTTCTGGAACAGGATGTCCTTCAACTTTCATAGTATAATGAGTTTTTATTTCATTATTAGTAAAACTAGCATGAAATTTAGGACATAATTTTATTAGTGAAATTTGAAGTCCTCGTGGTGGCAAGTATGGGGATGGCTGTCGACTGTGTTATTGTGCCTTATAATCTTACAGAAATGTTTCTGAGGTGCTTACTGCTTCCATCATCAAAGCAATGATCATCCTGATGACAGAGGCACAGATAAACTTCTACAAGACCTGCTAACCAAAATAAGCACCCACTGAGAAATGGAATTACTAATTGGGTACTTTTTAATTGTTCACTCATTTTAATTACTGGCCACATTTATGGTAAAATATAAATTATAGATCTCAGATTCAACAACTCTGATGAACATCCACAGGTTAAAGATACCTATTCAAAGTTTATCAAAAGAAAACGTACAAAAGACACAACATTAAACTTTTTTTGTTGTCTGTGGCAGTGGTAATGTTAATGACGTTCTAGGCTAAAGCCAGCCTAGTTAGGTGAAAGAATTCATTATTAAAATGAAGATACCTGAGATATATTTACTGGTAAGAGACACACCTTAACCTTTAGATTCCAAGTGAAATGTATGCATCCATTAATAATCAATTATCAAAATGTGATCAAGGAATGCATCTCTCTCCCTCTGTTCACACTGGAAATGGCATACATCAACACATTATGTTGTTTCTTGGCTCTACAACCCAGTTGTGGGTTTTCACCGCCTCCTTTTTTGGAGTGTGCATTTATGAGTAGTGAGTGACCAGCCCACTGACTGCACAATTTCTACTCAATCCTGATTTGACTACCAGAGCCATCTAGTAGTTAATCAGGAGACTTGGCTGAAAAATGGCTGCTGAATTTTGCTTAAGAAATATCTTGTACCATGCTCGTAAGGTTCTTTTACGTGCCGTAAATCTACAACATGGGATCACCAGCTTTACTTCTCCATTGAAGGAAGTCTTCAACACATGTATGGCACAGTAATATTCAATAAATGTGGAATCCACCTTGCACAATCTTCTTCTTCAGGTGTTGAGTAAGAATACGAAAGACACTAATGGGCAAGGTGCTCACTACTGCTTCAATTATTGTATGCTATACAAAATGTGTGTTCAAGCACTGCATCGTAAGTTCATTGTACCACATCACTGTCAGCATAAAGCACTCACTAGTGCAGGGTAGCATCTGCTCTCTTCCCCCATCTAGGTTCCATTGTATTCACCCACCATCAAACAGTGTGAATCTGTAAGCCTTCCTTTAGCAAGTTATGACAACTGCAACATGTTCTCCATCAAGATGAGAAATGTGATCAGTATTTTCTCACCTGTACACTTAAAACTTACTTGCTCTCTTTTCTGGTTCATAGCTTAGCACCATATGAGCACACATGGCCACCACATAACCTGCAAACTACGTCCAATCAATACAAACTTCATACCTCAGGGAAGTTTATTCACACAAACTAATATATATTGGTAGCAAAATACAGGAAATTTGTGAAGTGACCATCATAAAATTAAAGGATAAATTATGTCAGACAGAGAAGAACCATAGTTTAACACAGGCCTCATATTATTTCTCTACATTCTAAAATTCTAATTTTAGCAGATCTGTGCACAGAAAATTTTTAACCTAGATCTGACCAGTCATTGAATATAGGATCCTCTGAACAGGAACATAAAGTGTTACTGTAATACCACCAGGGATCGTCAAATTAATTTGTACTTTTCTTTCTGTAAAGTTGAATCACATGGCCCAGGAAGATCATCTTTATTTTATACATTCTAAAGGCAGTTTTCGGAAAAATATTTTTATAAAATGGACATGAACAAGATGATGGATGATATGTTGAGACAAATATCTGAATACCATTTGAGACTAACTGTAGTTTTGGGATATTCATCATACAGTATAGCTTGTGCTGTGAAATTGCATGGCCACCTTTGCTATGAATTACAGCTCACCTGTTCAACAGTGAACACCTCTCTTGGCATTGTATCAAATGTGTCTTCCTCTGGTGGCAACTCAAATGCCTCAAGACCTCCCAGCCCATTGATGATAAGTCCTTCCCCACTAGAGCGAGTTCCAGTATATTTTGAGACAGTAAGAACTTCCCTGGTAGATTTCCCAAACCAGTGCCACACAATCATTGAGTGTTCAGACAGGTCCTCATCATAAAGACTGCTATGCAGCTCTTTAGCAGCAGGGCGACGGACAATCATGGTTCCAAACACACCATCTGCCTCTTCAAAACCTGTGTGGTATCAGAAAAGTGATACACCATGTAATTCAACTTCCTTTTGTATCCCTTGTCTGTATGGTCATTAGATTTCTGGAACAGGATGTCCTTCAACTTTCATAGTATAATGAGTTTTTATTTCATTATTAGTAAAACTAGCATGAAATTTAGGACATAATTTTATTAGTGAAATTTGAAGTCCTCGTGGTGGCAAGTATGGGGATGGCTGTCGACTGTGTTATTGTGCCTTATAATCTTACAGAAATGTTTCTGAGGTGCTTACTGCTTCCATCATCAAAGCAATGATCATCCTGATGACAGAGGCACAGATAAACTTCTACAAGACCACATGGCACAAAAACCCAAAAGACAGTCATCTCCTTATTTTAGGTTATATTACAAGTTTTGGTTAATAATTCTCTGGGAAATAGTTTTTGTACCTTTAGTAATGATGATGAAGCAATGTTAATGCAAACTATTTTATACTGATCTTGAAGGCAGTACATGTTCTGTCTTTTCTTTAGCATTGAGCACTGTAGACATTCTTTAAGCAGCATACAAATAGATAATGGTTTTGCTATCCACTGATAGCTAGGAAGTAGAGCGGCCAGGGCATGAAAATGCAAGCAGAGTGTTCTTGCAGGACCTACTGTCAAAGCCTGAATGTTGTGAGTACGCCACTTTCCTGAAATATTAGTACTAACAACAGGAGATAAACAAATCAAGGCAAGTCCAGTGCTAACAACAGTACTACAACATAATAAAATATGTTCTAGCAATGTGCCATGTACATGTGGTGGCAGCAATGACAAAGACTATCTTGTGTTATTCTGAAAAAAGTGCTTACAAATAAAATCTTAACCAACACAAGATATTATTAAAATGTCACCTCATGTGAATAAAAACTGCCTCATTTGTAGTCAATAACACTTGCAATAATAACACTGTCACCAATCATAAGGATTGTAATTTTTAAAAACACTACAACAGGACCAAATAAATGCAGCTACCACTTTCAGTGGGGGTAAATTTTGGGAAAGCTTATGGGTTCATAGTTTCACTGCCTGAGCCTAGAACATATGCCCTGTACTGGTGGACCACACAGTGACTACCCAAGAGTTGTCCTATGCTGCCATATACCAAAGGTGCCAATTCATAACAAATTTATGAAGTTTATATTATGTAGCAATAAATACATAATGACTGCAATACCATTGGTACTACCTCTACTTCATGAACATTCTACAGGCAACATGTACCCAAAACTTTTACTTTGCAACTCATAATTAATCACTCAGGTCCAGTGGAGGGAACTGGTGAATTCGGTGATGAACCTTCAGGTTCTGTAAGCCATCTAGTTAGTTAGTTAGTTAATTATTCACTCAAAAGAAAAGAAAAATCTACTTGCCCAAAACCATGTTTCCCAGGTTCCTTAAATGACAGACTGTGCATGCTTACATGCAAACATGATTCAGATTACTAGGAAGATGCCTTAGTTTTGAGTATCTGCTACCACCTAGTAGGAATATTGCAAATCCATGTTACATAATTAATCTGTCCTTTATGGTGTCCCACAAGCATGACAGCAATCTTGGCATGAAATTCAGTAAAAATATTACTATCTAGCTGAAGTAAGTGAGCTTACTACTAGACAAAATCTCAACCTCTCTCCCTGATGGAAATTAATTATACAGATACAATTCAACATTGCTTAACCAAAATAATTAACTGAATATTTTTTTTAAAAAAGCTATTAATACACTCAACTAGACAAAAAATCCTTGACTTTTATGGAATCCAAAGGTTCATTAACATATTTACAACAGCCTGGTTACAGTCCCAATCCTAAACCAGATTAATCCATTCCACACTCTCTAACCCTCTCACTGTTTACTCTATCAGATTACATGGCATTACAATCAGGGGACAGATATCTTTGTTTCAATTATATTACACTTATTTTTACTTTATAACCACTATTTACTTCCCTCTGTGTGTCTGAGTATGAGTGTGTGTGCATATGCATGCATTTCTGCTAGATGTATACATGTATGTTTGTCCATTTAATTTTTCTTGTTCCATAGTATTGCTTAAATAATATGGAAACACAATGCAGTTTTAAAAATTATCCCTTCATTGTTCTGTACTGATTGTATCTTCATATGTCTTACATCAACAGCCTTCATGTAATTAGGGAATTTCCATTATTAACAAAATTGATCTGCCGTTTTCTTCAAAAGTTTTTGTGTAGGTATTGGTAATTCTAATGAAACAGGTTTCTTCCAAGTTGCCTTGCAAGTTGGAATGATTACTGAATGCACAGCTTTATTCTATAACTAAAAATCATGGACAGTTGTGAGCTTACTATAGTCAGAAAACTGCAAATAACTATTTATGCTATAAACAGGTAAATCATATCAGGTTCAACAAATCTGATTTGATAAAAATACTGATGAAAGTTTCATACAATTTCTAGAGAAACCTTTTCAAAGTTATTCCATTTCTGGTTTGTACTGTAATTTGGAGGAAACTAATTGAGAAGTACAAACTATAGGAGATAGAAAAATGCTGTTTTTCAAAGATGGCTGTAGTACAACCCAGAAGACGGCCATCTTCGGACTTCCGGCCATGAAAACCTCAAATCCTACTTATGCTGCTTTTCATTTTCATAATCACTGTAAAACTGTATATACCCAACCACGAAACATCTATGTCACCAAATGCTTTGTTTAACAGCGTTATTTGTATATCCTTAATGTCATTAGCAGTCTAGATAACAACAAGATCATACAAAACATGTATCATCTAGTCACAGGAATGTGACAAATATTAAGGTACATCAATGAAGAATTATATCACTTATTATAACTACAACATTCAATCAGCGATAGCAAGGAAAATATAATGCAGAGTTCGATAATCTGAAAATGGACTTGTCCAGTTAAAATTTCTCTTCTGTTAAATATTTCTTACTATATGGGAAGGCTATAGAGACTGAATTATGCAGATGGTGTTTAATAAATTATTATATAAGCCAATGTACTAAAACATCAAAATATTGGAATACAAACCAATATGAGCATGCCACATGTGAGTGCCAGGAGTGTCAGCAATGAAGTCATACACAAAGCTGGTGTATGGTAGGATTGGGCACTGAGTCAAGTAAGGTGTGCCGTCCATGTAGGGTGTGCCTCTCTGATGAGTTCCATGCCAGTGGATGACAACGCCCTCACTGCTAAAGTGATTTGTGACTTGCACCACTACTCTGTCTCCCAAGCATACCTGAACACAAGTTTAAGTTAGAGCTCTATTTGGTATATAACAAGAAATGAATAAGACAGTAACTAGGACAAATAAAATGTTCATGGTCTTCTATACTTGCATATGACCTCTTTGTTGAATGTAAAACACAAACAAAGTTCCAAGGAAAATATTTGGATAGATAAATTATGTGGGTAAAAAATATTTGGATAGATAAATTATGTGGTTAATAAAGTTCTAAGACTACCAAAACTAGCATTTAAAAGCCAAACAGAGGTCACCCCAAGAAAAGATGGAAAGACCAGTTCTTGGAAAAGTGCTGAAGTATACAGGCTTGGTAAGCCTAAATAATACAAGTTAAAGAAGAAGAATATACATAAATCTCTATTTATATATTTCCTTCCTAGGCAGCACAAGAGCACGACTCCAAACATTAACTTCTACTAAATTAACATGAACTGCTTTTCTAGATTGAGGCTATGTTTGAGAACTGAGTGCTAAGGAGGATTTATGGACCTGATATGGAGGAAGTAACAGGAAAACTGAAGAAAACAGCATAATTTTGAGCTTTATAATTTGTACTTTTCAATAGAAGTTGTTAGAAAGATCAAATAGAAGTTGACTAGGTTGTCAGGTATGTAGCAGACATGGGAGAAATAGGTAATGCACACAGAATTTGACACTGAGAGCTTAATGGAATGACACCTTTTGAAGATCTAGTCATGCATGGGTAATAATGCCAAAATGAATCTTAAAGAAGTAGAGTTTAAGAATGTGCAGTGGTGCTATCTGGATTTTGATAGGGACCAGTAATAGGCTTTTGTTGATATGGTAATGAACCTTTTGGATCCATAAAAGACAGACAGCTTATTCACTACCGAAATGACTACTAGTTTGTCAAGCAGTGACACACTGCTTCATGAGTTTCTTTGTCCTTCCTCTGCTTCTGTACTGGGCATCTTGTCTTTGCAACTTCTAGCTCAACTTGCATATTCTCATATGGTGACATACCTCTATCTTGGGACCTGGAATCTGATGATTCACTGCAGACACTATGCGAACACGTCCGCCACCAGCTATACAACCGGGGGCCCTGCAAGCTGCTGCATCACCCAGCAGACCCTTTACTGTTGTGCATGAAGTACAAAAGTTCTCCCTCATAGTGACGTACTCTCCGACAGTAAAGTTGTACACACATGTCATTGGTTGTCCCTCCTGACAGTTCCTGTAGCATGGGTCTGTGGCAGATTCACATTGTTAGTCATTAAGCTCTGAGGTTTGCTTTTATTCACAGCTAAAGGTTGATTTATAGACTATTTGGTGATCCTGTATCAACTACAGAGCTTCTTAAGCATAAAATGAAATGTGAGGATGATTATGAATGGTGAAATGGGAAAGATGGGAGAAGACAAATAGCTGGTTCCATTACTCTGATCTAAATTTAATATCAGCTGAACCCAAGTCAGATACATCACCACAGATCTAAATTAATCACACAATTTATGAAATGGTATAGGAAAAAATGCTTTGAGATTTGGGATACTCACAAGGATGAAGATTTTAATGTTGGTATGTTGGGTTGTAATGCTATGTGAACTTGTAGATAGATATCAACCTATTGGAAGAATATATGGCCCCCATATTCAGGGCTAAAGATAGAGACATAATTTTATTCTGAAATATGAGTACCTACCTAAAAATCCATATGGTATTATAACTCATAAGATCAACATTAATAAATGTTTTGTTTAGGAAAAAAGGAAACCTTTTATGAATATTACCTCAGACAAATAATATGGATTAAACTGATTAAAGACAGGATCCAGTAGTGACAGTGCTCATGACAGTAATGGACATTCATATTCCATAACAACAAGGAATCAGACCTATGAAATTAATTAAGTCTGCTCAGGCAGCAGCCTTGCTACCTATGGAACAGCAATCAGTCTAGACGTTGCATTAAAAAACTCCCAAGGACTCTAACAGGAATCAAACCCTGGACATTCAGCCTGTAGCCCATGGCTGCTGACTGAACTATCAGGGCTGAACCACACCACAGTCTTAATTTTATATGAAGTTGATATAGGAAGTGCCAATAATGGATTTATCTGTGGCGGTCATAAGTTTGTCTATTAAATGGTACTAAATTCTTCTGTCAGTTGAGCATTTTTCTTGTCAGTAGTCAAGATGCTGACTCTGGAGCTATCTGGCAGACATGAAAGTATTTTTCTTGTCAGTAGTCAAGATGCTGGCTCTGGAGCTATCTGGCAGACATGAAACAGATATGCCAGATCTCTCTGTACCAGATTTTCACCTCTTCAGGGTCATGAATTTCAGCCGGCACTTCAGTAGTGCAGATTAGTTGAATGACACAATTGCTCTGAAGAGAATTTTACAATATTATTTCCTGTAAGGCTTCAATGAACTATTCTTATAACTGAGGCAAAAAATATCTGAGGGTGGTGTTGTACAATATCTGATTTGCTTTATCAGTTGACAACAATATAACCATTATTGAAACTTGACACCTGATTAAAAGAGGACATGAGAAGATGGCTGGATGATCAGTTCACTAGCTACATTACATGTCATTACTATATAGGTTAACTCACTGGTAAATTTACATTTGGATGTACTGACACTACTGTGTAGGTTAGCTCAGCAATAATAGGTTCCCACTTCAAATATTGACCACAAAACAGCTATTTTGATTAAGATTTTATGTCTTTCTCAATCTTTCCATAAAATCGCCAGAACAATAACATAAGTAGATCAAGAGTATTTTTTGCTACATCCTTATTGGCTATGCAATCATATAATTTCTTCAAAGTCTATATGTGGCAACTTTCCAGTTGTAAAGTTACTGAGGAAACAAAACTGTTTGCAAGCCACCTGAATTACCAGTTTCATTTGGCCTTCAGAAAAGTAATACAACCCAGTAACATTTGTACATACTCTGCAAAAGTTAAAATGTTACCCTCAATGTATGCTCTGAAAAATTGAATGATATAAGATCCCAATTATATTCACTACAAACAGTAGAGTATTTTTTAAAGTTGTTAAGCTGCCATAATTCTACAATAAACAGGTTAGTGTTGTAGCAATGAATGGCCTAGACTTGTATTATTGAGTAACAATTTAAAATCTTGCCCGGACAGGCTTTTGTGGTTTGCCTTATTCACTCCAGGAAATTTTCAGGGTAGTAACCTTTAACTTTTCAGAAACAATCTGAATGCAGCTGTATTTGTGTTAACTTTGTAGAGCATTTAAAAAGGACAGGATAATTTCTTCAGTTCTTGCTTTCTGTTGCCCTATTTGTTAAATTTCCCACATTTAAATATGCTATTAAGATATCACGCTGCAAAAAAAAAAAAATTTTAAGATTTATGAACACTAGTGCATTATTAAGTATGGATATTTTACACTTTAAAATTTAAAGGAAATCTGAAGAAACACATTACAAGACCTTACTAACAGGAATGTGTTTAGAAAGAGGAAATGTGTTTCAGCTCTAGACAATTTATGCTGGCAATGCTGTGCTGCCATGGCCAAGGCAGCTTTCGTCAAGAAGAGGATACTTCTCACTAGCAAGTTGGGCTTGGAGATGAAGAAGAAACTAGTGAAGTGTTACGTATGGAGTGTCGCGCTGTATGGAGCAGAGACTTGGACACTCAGGAAGAAGGAACAGAAATACCTGGAGAGTTTTGAAATGTGGTGTTGGAGAAGAATAGAGAAGATCAGGTGGACGAATCGAGTGACCAACGAAGAAGTATTGAGGAGAGTCAAAGAGCAAAGAATCATTCTGCAGGCGATTACACGAAGGAAAGCTAACTGGCTGGGACATATTATGAGAAGAAATGGATTACTGAGTGATATCACCGAAGGCCAGGTTGAAGGAAAGCGAGGACTGGGAAGAAGATTGATACAGCTAACCGACGACCTTAAACAAGGAAAGAAGATGACGTTCCAGGAATTAAAGCGAGAAGCCGAGAATAGGGACAACTGGAGAGCTCTTTTTGGGCAGAGCAATGGACCTGTCGTAAGACAGAACACTTAATAATAATAATAATGCTGTGCTTTTTCCTTTACAAAACTGTAACATGGTAGACCAAAACATTTCACAACATAAACTTCTATACTATGTGTGCTTGGTTTATTCTTTATGAGCATGGTCACAATATTCATACAAGGCTACTACATTGTATAAGAAAGTTTGAAAGATGTCTAAACACAAAGTGACACAAGAAAAGTGTTCACAATAGTAGAATTACTAGATAGGATAAATTAGACATACTAAAAATCATACTTCAAATAATGTGTGAGTGAGTATGTTCCCACATGATCTGTGATTATTTCTTTGTACTCATAGTTACAAAATGCAGGAGGACTGTGGAGATAAACACATGGTATCCCCTTGTGCTTCTAACAAACAGCACATATGCCCTCATACAGCACATATGTAGATCTCCCCTTCTACAGTTTCAGTATCTTTGGCAGAAATATGTTTCTGCTGTGATGAACAATGTTGGAAGTGTTCATTTTCCTTTTATATAGATTCAATAAGAGAAAAAGTGATGAAAGCATTTGTGTTTAACAAACTGCATTCAAAAACTCCACTTCTTATGTTATCTGGTGTTCCAGTTCATTTTATAACTGCAGTAATATTTCCACACTGTTTCTTTAGGTAAACTGCCATATCACAAAAAGTATATCAGCAGCTACTAAGCTCCTATAAATTAATTTCAAATATTCTTTGTACTGCCAAAGAACTACATATCATTTACAGGCAAAATTTTGTGTACATTGGTAAAATGGGGGCTAGATGTTCTTGAGGTATTTGAAGAACCTCATAACTTCCTTAGGACCTCCTATAACCTCATCCCGTTGGCTATGAATGATGTATTGGAAAGGATGTGGGAGTTAACAGTTGCAGCCTATTTCAAGGTACTATTCAAGTGTTTGCCTGGAATCCATAAGGTACATAATGAAAGGTCTCAGTTAAGATATCTGTTTCCTGGAACAGGATTTTGACCTGAGACCTCCCAAATATGAAGTAAAAGTGCTAACCTTCTACCACAGCATTCCGTAAAATATTATTAAAAATTTCATCTGTAAACAGAGTAAAAGAAAAAAGCCAAATGATGAAGAACCTTGTTTTGATATGACGTGACATACACAACAGAAGTCAATACACAAAAACACTGAACTGAATTACTAGATTTCTGTTTTGCTTTCCCTATAACTTTATCTATTGGAACAATATCATCACAAAGTTCTATATTCTATACAATAGATATTCTAGATACATTGTTCCTCAGAATAAGAATTAAGAACCAATTCTTTGATCTCATGTGTGTTGATAAGAGAAAATTTTGCCATGGCACTAGTCCACCAAAGGCAACTTCTGTCTAATAATGAATAGAACAATATTTATGCTCAACAGGACACCATATGTTCCCACAATCAGAAAAGGATGGTTGATGTTTTATATTATTACCATCACCATCAAGCCCATGCATAATTTAGTAAACAGTCAAATTAATATGCTCTGCAGGCACAAATATTCAGGAAAGGTATCCCCTTGTGCTTCTAACAAACAGCACATATGCCCTCATACAGCACATATGTAGATCTCCCCTTCTACAGTTTCAGTATCTTTGGCAGAAATATGTTTCTGCTGTGATGAACAATGTTGGAAGTGTTCATTTTCCTTTTATATAGATTCAATAAGAGAAAAAGTAATGAAAGCAATTGTGTTTAACAAACTGCATTCAAAAACTCCACTTCTTATGTTATCTGGTGTTCCAGTTCATTTTATAACTGCAGTAATATTTCCACACTGTTTCTTTAGGTAAACTGCCATATCACAAAAAGTATATCAGCAGCTACTAAGCTCCTATAAATTAATTTCAAATATTCTTTGTACTGCCAAAGAACTACATATCATTTACAGGCAAAATTTTGTGTACATTGGTAAAATGGGGGCTAGATGTTCTTGAGGTATTTGAAGAACCTCATAACTTCCTTAGGACCTCCTATAACCTCATCCCATTGGCTATGAATGATGTATTGGAAAGGATGTGGGAGTTAACAGTTGCAGCCTATTTCAAGGTACTATTCAAGTGTTTGCCTGGAATCCATAAGGTACATAATGAAAGGTCTCAGTTAAGATATCTGTTTCCTGGAACAGGATTTTGACCTGAGACCTCCCAAATATGAAGTAAAAGTGCTAACCTTC